GCCCCTACGTTCTCCGCCGCCCTCCAGCACGCGGGCGATCCTCGCAGGTGCCGAAGAAAGCGACGCCGGGCTTTTCAACGCGCCCGGTGCAGGGCGAGCAGAGGAAAAGCCACGTGTGGAAGGGGTGCTTCGGAGCCAGCCCAGGCGGCGTTTGACAACAAACAGCCGAGAGAACTGTCCTCTCTCCGCAGTCCGCTATCACCTTTCCCCAGAAAAAGAGAAGCTTTATCTTCAAACCAGTGACGGTGCGTCTTCCCCCCCACCTCCCTCATCCTCCTCTCGGGTCTCGCGTTTCCAGGAGGGTTTGCTCTTAGATCAAAGATAATTTTTGAGTACAAAAATGCGCTACGGGTGCGGAACCACACGCTGATAATTCTGAAAGCTTGTTCGGGATAGGATAACGTCACAGATCGTGAGCTTGGACTGTGGTATCTTACACCAGACAGAGAGAAGCCATTTTGTTTCTGCTGCTATTTTAATTACAATAAATTATTCTGTCACTAAGCAAAGCAGACATTCAAGAACATCGAGGGCGAAAACCCAACTGAATTACGGCCCTTTCACTGTTCTTTCAATTATAAATCTTCCTAATCAAGACTGTCGAGCTGAAACCCCAAATCAACGGTGGCAGCTGCCCGCGTGCTTGCTTCCAGCTGAAGAAGTTACAGGGGAGTGGCGGAACACAAACAGGCAGCTTGGCAGCGCGTTTTCTGCTCCAGAGCCCACGCAAGTGCCAGGGACTCTGCCCGCTCGCTGCCTGCGACAGCAGAGGTGCCGTGCTGTGTCCCCGCAGGTGCCCGCCAGCGACTCCCTCCCCACGCCTGCGTCCTTCCATTTTTGTACTCAAAAATGTTTCAGGGGAGAGCGATCTACGAGCCTCCACCTCCGAGCGTTCCCGAACGCCCTCGCTTTCCTCGTGCTCGCATGGGTGATGTCATTCTAAATTACAAAATTAGAAATGTACATGTTTAAAGGTTTCTCAAAATTAAATTATACACAAACTGGTCTTTACTAAACTATCCTACAAATATTCCACAAACAAGGCAGCAAAATAACCAGTCCACCACAAGGTCTACAAATACAAAATGTGAAGTCTTCCAGGAATTATTGTAACGGGAACAAAAGGTCAGAAAATAAATTAGCCTCCAGCTCGCCACGCAGTGTTACAGGAGGTATTTTTACTTGAATCCAAGGGTTTCCAGCGTGAGCCGAGCCATGACGGGATCCCGCGGTCACCTCTGGCGTCCCCTGCTCCCGCTCAGCCGCTGAGCGGATCCTCCCGGTAGTGGATGGCGTAGCGGAGCTTCTCCAGCATTATGTCCAGCGAGGAGTACTGCGGCAGCTTGATCATGAACATGCACGTCTCCACGCGGATGTACCGGGAGTCCGGAGCACCTGCGGGGCAGAAGCACCGGGTCAGAGCGGGTCTGAGCGCGCCCTCCGCTTCTCGCCGCCTTCTCCGGACGCAGCCTTCCCCCGCGCCCCTTCCCCAGGGGTCTCCAAGCCATCACGTTCCTGCCCGTAACCCTGCACGCTGCGGTGCTGCTCCGGCAGAACTCAGGGTGACTTTTTTCTGACAGCCCAATCATTTTAAAAGCATACAAGGCAAATATTACCCCAAGTCTCTTACTGTCTCTGGAGGGCAACGCTTTAAGTAGTTAAAATTTTTTTTTACACGGTTTGAACACCTCTTCTTATTTACAGCCATGACTACCCGCCTCTCTCTTGTCGTGCTTTGTGCACGTTTAACCAAGAGAAAGGGGAAGGGGAAGCCAGAGTCACCACGACGTGAGCAGAAGGGGTTTCCTTTGCCTCCGGAGCCGGACGGCAAACCCACCTGCGGCGCCGTCCGGGGGGGCGATTTTCATGGGGTACGGTGGGACGTGGGCAGTGTCGGGGCCTCCGTCCTTGCAGGGACAGGTGAAGGGGATGCGCTCCTGGTTACAGGCGAACTTTATGAACTTGCAGAGCTCCTCCTGCGTGAACGTCTCCAACGCGCTCCAGAAATACTCGATGTGCTGATCGGTTTCCATCAAGCCCACCTGGTACATGGTGTGCGCCTACGAGAAAGGAGAGCAAGGTGTGCGCCGCTGCTTCCCTCTCCCTTCGCAAATCCTCCCCGCTCACGCCTTGAGAGGTGAGGCGAGGAGGGGAGGGCAGCTACGCCGCTCTCCCCGAGCCCTCCGGCCTTTCCAAAGCTGCTGGCAAACCCAGCAGCAGCAGACCGCCAGTACGGGGGGGTTTGAGGACTCGTCTCGGCGCGCAGCGCTGTTGTGGTGGATTTGCAGGATGGGGCAGCTCAGCATTGCTGCTGTTTAAGGAGAACACAGAACAGCGCTGACGCCCACGGCTCAGAACATTCGACAACTTCTGACACAAGAGAACGGGTCTTTTTACAGCATAATTCTTACGCTAGCGAAATGGAAGTATTTAGGACCAGAAGTTGTCCGCTACAGATAAATTTTAGATTTTCAGAAGCTATTTGCAATCCAAAATAAGGGCAATAGCTCTTTCAGCCCTTAGCTCAAGTGGCCAATATTGACTAAAGCTCAAGAAAA